TCCCGCAGCTCGGACGCGTGCGAGGGACGCGGCAGCGAGCGGGGACGCTTCACCTGCCAGCCTCAGCAGTGTCCCCAGCGAACGGAGGAGCTGGGAGGGAAACCAAAACAAAGGAAAAGGGGAGTCGCGGGTGTTGGGCGCGCGGGGGGCGAGGAGCGAAAGGCAGACGGGAGCCAGCGGGAAGATCTGTAAAATCTGAGCAAGCTGGAAGGTGAGATGGGTACAAAGAGCAACTTTCAAAAAGCGTGCTTGGGATAAGGTTCCTGAATCTGTGCTTTGTCTTCCAAAGAAATCAGGCTCATTATCTGAGCAGTGTCTTTATCTGGAAGCCTAAACATTGCACCTTGACTTGTGAGTCTAAAATGTGCCTGTCTTGTAGTGCAGAACCGAACTCCTGAACAATCTGAATAGATGTGAAAGGAAGGCAGATCCTCCACACAATGTGAAAACCAGAAAATAATTGAGAAAATTATAGTTTTGTTCATACCCTTGCTATGATGCAGTAGCAGATTTTTTTTAAAATTGTAAAAATGCAGCAATTTTTGTTATGTTAATAAACCAAGACCTTTAGCCTGGCAAAGATTTATGTGTATGCTTGGCTTAAAAGCTGGGAAGGGGCAGTTGTCGCCTGCAGCAGCCTGGGCGAACATACGCTTGCCTGTTGCTAGTCACATTCTTTCCCCTTCCCACCCTCCAACTTCTGTTACTCAAGCTTAAAAACTTACTTTCACAACAGTTTCTCCGGGTGGCAGGGTGCAGTCTGGGCGCTGCTGTGAGCGCAGCCGTGCCAGGACAGCCCGCGGGCTGGCAGCTGGAGAGACCCTCTGCCTCACGGCACGCCGTCGCCAGCCGCTCCTCTCAGCAGCAGCTCAGGTGAGCTGCAGATCGTATTTACTGAAGGTAGGAGGACTGTATTAATTAAAACAACCATAAATGATAGCCTGAGCAATAAGAGCTTCTAAAATTCAAGGCTGTCAGGATAGCCTGGGATTAAAACAGATGAATGTTTCTTGAACGACCAGCAAGCAGCGCGACAGACAGCTGGGACCATCTGCCTGGCACGGCGAGTGGGAACCCAGCCTCTTGGCCCCGCTGCTTGACCGCTTTCCTCGTTCCCGGGCAGGTGGTGCCTCCGGCCACTAAACGCGCCAGAACCAAGAGTCGTGCGGGAGGAATGGTGGGCAGGGCTTGGCCAGGCCGGGACCACGAGCTGCCTCGTGCGCAGCTAACGGGGGTCCGGTTCGGGAACGCGGTGGGGTGTGCGGGTGTGCCTCGTGCCAAGGAGCAGCTCTGCTCGGGTGGGACGCGCTGCCGGGCGCAGAGCGGGCGGCACGCGGGGCTGTGCGGCGAAAACGCCCTCGCAGGAGCCAGGCTGGCCGAGGCTGGTCAGCGTAACGTGAGCGTTGGAGGCCGTTCGGTTAGCAGAAGTTTAGTTTGCCTTGGTGCAAACTACTGCAGCCTTTGGCTGGTCTTGAGGAGGGGATTTTCTCCAAAAAGAGCGGATGTTGGCACAGCTCCCGGTTCCCAAAGAAAGGTTATCTTCCAGTGCAACTCTATCCCCCACCAGTGTGGGACTCGAGGATTCCAGCTCTGATTCTTCTTTCCCCTGCTTTGTGCACTAAAAATGTATTTAAATAATCGCCTGCTTGGTTTGGGCCGCTGGCGTGCCCGGAGGTTGCGACACACAGCCTGTGCGTTGAGACCGCGCCGCGGCGGAGCGTGGGTCCGGGCGAGCTCACACGCGTTACCTCGGGGAGGTCTCTGCCGGGGCTCCGAGGATGGACCTGAGCCGTTTCAGTCCGTGAGAGAGCTCCTGTTCCCATCGCGTGTTTTCCACTGTAAGCTGATCGTCCCTGGCTTGTGTTGTCTCTCTGACTGGAATTCACTCGGAAGCTTCCCCATGCAAATGCTTGGCAGCCCACAGAGCCGCAGCTGGCACAGCCGCTCATCCCGACGTCCCAGCCCGGCGCGGGAGCGATTCCGAAGCCGGGCTCCTCGTCCCGGTGCTGGCACCAGCCCTCTTGGGCAAGCCGTGCCAGCGCTCTGCGCCTCGGTCTCTGTATGTAGAAAATACAGAAGACCTCGTTCACCTCCGCTGGGAAGGTCCCCGCGACGCAGAGCGGACGCAGTGTGGTTTGGGGGGACACGCAGCGCTGTGTGTGGGCCTGGCGTGGAGTAAGCTGTGCTCCTCCACTCCTGCAGTCATCTGTCCTGCGTACGGCAGTTGCGGAATGTGCCACAGAGCTTGTGCATGTTCCATTAATGCAATTAATTCCAATACTAAAAGTCCTCGTGACTCTATCGCCTGGGTTCAGCACCCAGAAACGTCGTTCTGCGGCACAGAAATATTATGTCTGCTTTCCGAGTTACAGAACGTTATCTCAGCTGAAGGATCAGATTTAACAAGAATTGTCTTGCTCGGGGATTAGCAGAGAGGAATTTCATTTCCGTGTCTCACGCTGCAGATGGCATTACCTCCGTCAGCTTTCTGACATGGGGATTGTTTGCATTGATACGTAGTGACATCAGCATGCGTACCATGGGATGGGGGCTTCAAGGGTCTTTACAGTAAAAATAAATCACTGATTAGCTGGGAACTGGCAAGTTCACGGGGCAGATTTATCTTGCGCTTGGGGTTCGTATGGCTGCAAGGGGCGAGGGGTCACAGTCAAGTTAGCTGTGGTTGTAACTTTACTTTGCATGTTCTGGTCTTTCTTGAGGAATCCAGGATATTTCTGAGCTTTCTGATGCTTTTTTCTAGGAGGAAAAGTATTAAAGTAAGTATTTAAAACAAACCCCACCACTCTGACTTGAATTTTTGAATGTTCTCCCTGCACATTCATCATAAATGCATCACATTGAGTTTGATAGAGTCTGACTCTCTTCTTACATTAATTTATGTCCTGGTAGACAGTATTTCTTGCTATGAGTATCTTGCAGGAATGGAACATTTGGTTGGAGTGAAAAATACAGCCAGTTATTTTTAGTCTTTGTCTCACACTGCGTCCTATTCCTGTAACTCGTAAAGAAGTCTGCTGTATTTTCATT